CCCCAAAACCCCAAAACCCCAAAACCCCAAAGATAAAATATAGATTAAATTTATAGGTATAGTATATTTTAAATGTAATATGAATAATGTTACTAAAATTAAAACCAATTTTCTCCCTATTTAACAACATTCATTTATTTTCCTTGGTAAAATTAAAACCTTTACAGAATCAGAATCATGAGCAAATTAAATCTGAAGCACAATCTAATTATTCTTTTGATTCTACTGGCATATCCACACAGCTATTTATGCTAGAAGCAAGCCTGGGAACTAAGAGGAACTGAATATGAGTCGTAAACAGCAGCTGCAAAATACAATCAACTCTGGAATTTGATTAAGGCTAATTAACAGTCTCATGCTTGGCTAGGAGCAGCTGCACTTCCAGGCTTTTTAGCAGAAAAAATGGATCCGACATTGAAATGGGTTGCAGACACAGTACCATTTTCAGCAGAAGCTGGCATGAGGTAAAAATTCACTCATACAGTTGGAGTTCATGCAACCTGCGAATTCGTACCAACAATTCTTGGAAATTAATATACTGGTATATTCTAAGGAGCTTAATATGGAATAATTAGATTCTCTACAGGACCTCAGCCGGATGAAACGAAAGTAAATTGGTTTGAAGCAATAGGAAACTTCGCTCCAGGATTTGCAATAAAGTTTTTGAGAGATGGTGTACCTTCTGTGAATTTATTGACCTTGACAGCTGGCTTTTAGACATCTTGGAACTTCTTCGGCAACAGTTTTAGTAATCATATATTGCCTCCTGCTCCCCCTATTGGTCCTAAGTTTAGAGAGGCTACACAATTTATATAGCATTTGGGCTTATCTCATGCAGCAGCATTCGATGAATCAGGAGTGCCAGCATTTACTCCAAGGTTCCCATTTTAGTTGCTATACGAGGCCCCATAGGAGTTGAAAAATATGTTCACAGCCGATTTTGAAGCAGAATTCACTGAGTAACTTATGAGAATAAAATGCGGATAAACAGTCTTTAGAGTTTTCGCTCTTGCTTCCCCAACTGCCGATAAATAATACATTGGAGATATTGTTCTTACATCCGATGTAATTAGAAGTAACTGGGGTGATTCATTTTTATTCTTTAAGCATTAAGATGGTGCAGAGGACCTAGCATTAAGATCTGAGTGGACAACAGCTCTTACAGTTACAGCAGCGACTCCAACTTGCCCAATACACTCAATCAGATAGTTTGTCTCTTCGGCATTTTAATAGGCTGTAAACTTTGCAGGGCAACAATGATAAAGCATTTTAAAGTTTTCAGAGCCTGACATTGACAATTCAATAATTTTGCTAATTCAATTGTATGTTTGGTATGACTTAGTTACTTCACTATATTCTTTACTTTAAATACCTAGTAAAAACTTAATCAGATCTATTTTTACTCCCCTTATTTTTTTAAAGAATCAGCAACTCGGGGTTTTGGGGTTTTGGGGTTTTGGGGTTTTGGGGTTTAGGGGTTTTGGGG